AAAATTTTCTATGTGTTTGAAGCCTCTATCAGCAAGTACAGTAGTGCCTGGTTTTCAACAATCCAAGTATCCAGATTAAGAAACTATTTCAGCATCCGATGTCCTACCACCAAATCCAGGTGAAATAAAATTAACTATGCCATCGGGTGTACAAGACACTAAATATTTAACCGTATTACATTTTTTGTATTCAGACCAGGTTAATGATTGTTTGACAGGATCTGTTGACTTTTCACTTTCAATTTCTAAACAATCAATGATTGATTCTACTGCTGCATAACGGCTTCGAAAACTTATTGGCAACTGACGTTTAATTCTTGCCGATGAAGGCCATATAATAAAGTTTTTTTAGATATTCTGCTATGATTGGCAAAGTCTTAGTAAAGATGCGACTTATATTAGAAGTGGACATTCCAAAATCATCAGCTAAAGTCGTAAAACTTTCATTCAATCTTATTTTTTTCAACGTAATAAATATATCAATGTCACTTAAATTAGCCATACGTAAGATATCAATAATATCCCAGCAATCACCCGGAATCCAAACGTATTTACGAGGTGACAACCGAATTCTTTCAAGTGTTTGCTTTAAATTACCCTTCTGAAATTCTTCTTGTTGAAATGCATTGTTCCATTCATTTTCTGTACTTCCATTTGTTATTAAGAAATTATCTGATGAAGTAGGGAATGAACTAGCAGTTGTATTAGAAGATAAATTCGTAGTATTAGGTGAAGGATTTGATAATGGATCATTATTCGTTGGTTGAGAACAATAATTATGCGCATTTTCATTTTCTATCAACTGCTCAATCGGAGATGATGCACGATCTTTAGTCACAGGTTTACATTGAACTTTTACGCTCCAGTATGAACTCTTTATCTTGACTTGGACACCAACATTCAGTTTTTGACTTCCAATAGCAGGGGGGTCATCGCAGACATTGGATCTATTCTTATCGTAATCTTCTTGTATATTAAAATTAAATTGGTCTGTGCACTCAGAATTTAAATTATCCGTTATACTTCCAGAGATTTGATTCAGCCGTAACTTGGCAATATTTAAATTCATTCACGGAGAGAAATGGATGGTAGATACCACTATACCAGTATGGGCGAGAACGCCATACAGTATGGTATCGAAGATTTTTGTCCATTATTAAACTGTACACATAGATGATTCGACCATGCGGGAATGGTAAAATTGGCTATAGTTATCGCGGATGCCGCAATGCTAGTATGGCCGTCAGGCCCATACTGGCTTGCCGTATGTACAATTCTTCTGGCAGGTAGACCTAGCCAATATTGTGATTTTAGCTACAACATTATTGGAGTAACAGCAATGTTTATTTAATTATAGATGTAGGTTATGTCCGAAATATATTATATAAATAAAAAATGATATTAATTATTTCATGACATGATTGTTATTTTTTTATTTTTACTCTGATATGAATTGATTTCAGTGAAGAAAAATAACAACAACAATCAAAAAATTACAAGAATTTATGTGTCTTATTAAAAATATGAGAAATTATTAAAAAAAAATTTATTCTAATTAAAAAAATAAAATGTTCTCAAAAAACCAATTATCTTAAAATTTATAGTTAAAAAATTATATTTATTAATTTATTAGAGTCGATTTGTTTTAATTAATTAAAATAAAATTGCAAGTGTCAATAACTAGGCCAGTGTCAATAACTGGGTCTTTTACCTTATATACACTGATAGAAGGATTTATTAACTATTAATAATTTAATTTATTTAAAGACAATTATTTAATTTATTAAATTTTAATGAATGTTTTTTAACATTTAATAAATATTTATTTGGGAGGAAAGTACATTGATGAATAGTTAATAATTATTTATTTATTAGTTAACAAATATTTATTAACAGTTGATAAATATTTTTTTGAGTAAATTTGTTTCCCTTGTAATGTCATATGATATGAAGATTGTTTATAAACAAAAATCATCTTTATAAATTATTTGTATTAATTATATTATTTTTTTTTTAAATTATATTTTCTGACAATTAATGTTACAAGTAATGTTACGACAATATTAGAGTCGATTTGTTTTAATTAATTAAAATAAAATTTCAAGTGTGAATAACTAGGCCAGTGTCAATAACTGGGTCTTTTACCTTATATACACTGATAGAAGGATTTATTAACTATTAATAATTTAATTTATTTAAAGACAATTATTTAATTTATTAAATTTTAATGAATGTTTTTTAACATTCAATAAATATTTATTTGGAAGGAAAGTAAATTTATTAATAGTTAACAAATATTTATTAACAGTTGATAAATATTTTTTTGAGTAAATTTGTTTCCCTTGTAATGTCATATGATATGAAGATTGTTTATAAACAAAAATCATCTTTATAAATTATTTGTATTAATTATATTACATTATATTAACGTTTATTATAAAATACTAAATTCAGTAAATTCTATTACAGCTAATAATTATATTTTATATTTTTAAATATTGGAATCGTTAATTTATTTAGTGAATTGAATTATTATCATGTATTTCAGCTATAGAATCATAAGAAGTGTCAAAAGAAAATTACTATTTTTGTTTTTTATTTTAAATAAATATTTGTTAACAGTTAACAAATATTCATTAACCATTAATAAATATTTATTAACAGTTAATAAATATTCGTTAACTCTTAACAAATATTTATTAACATTTAATAAATCGTATTTAATAAATAATTTTTTAACTTTTAATAAATATTTATTAAATCCTATGATGTTACAAAATCATTTATTAACAGTTAATAAAGCTTATTAAATAAAAACAAATCTTTCCGTCAGTGTTGTTTTGGTGGTAACACAAGAGTTTAATTGCTTAACACGCCAAAAATTATAGCGGGAACCGCTAGTACCCTTGCGTCATCAGCAATGTAGTATGGGTCTCAGGACCATACTGTCTTGCCAAGCCTGCTATGCATACGTGTAAAAAGTACAATAGCATCATTACTATATTACATAGTAAATAACGCCATACTTATGGGACTCGTTACAATACTGAATTGCAATATTACACATACTATTTTAGTATCGGTCTGGAGACCATACTGACATAGTGTTAAACGCCATCCATTTCTCTCCGTGTTGTTTCAGTACCTAGTTGATCTACATCCATTGGAGGAACATCATTCATGCTTGAGGATTTTGATTGCTCAATAAATTTATGAGGCACAACATTATTCCTTATCCGTTTGTTACCACCAACCATTGTCCATTCCAATCAATTTTCCAAATCCACTTTAAGCTAAAATAAGCATCATCAATTCATGAAATGAGTTGAAAATCACAATTTTAGGTTATAATTTTATGTAATTATTATAAGAAATTTTTAATGATTTTTAATAAATACTTACGTCAAAATGATCTTCACAACAATAAAGCCGAGTTGATGATGAATAATGAGTTTCATTCCTGCATGCATCTAACCAATTTTTCCGTTTAACAGAATTCGATGGAACATTAATAAAAATTTTTTTTGGTGTCGATTTACCAGTATTTCTACACGTTGGAACTATACACCAATAAAAATCGTTTTTTGACGACATTTCGAGTAATTGAATATTTTTATTTTATTATAAACAACACTACCAGATCTTCTTTTAATCAAGTACAATTCAGCACAACAACTGTTTACACCTGCCACGTGCTTACAAGAGAAATTGGCGCTTAAAATTTCAAATGAAATAAGCATCGTGACGTCACATACACGAGATGGAGCTACCTATTCATTTAAATATCAGCTTTTTTTATTTATTTAATTATTTAAATTTTTAAGAACAAAATCGAAAAATTTTTTTTTCAAAAATTTTAAAAAATTATATAGAATGTAAAAATATCTAAAGTTAATGAATACCAAAATCATGCAAATACCCAATTGTATTAAATTTAGAAAATGAGATATTGATATTTAACATGAGTTTGTATATTATTTATGAACATTTATACGCAACGTTGGATTATTTCTAACGTTCCCTCAATCTCTGGTGAGTAGACAAATCCAAAAATGAAATACGTTAAAAATGTAATCAATATTCCATCCAAGAATGAATTGGCACCGATGATGATACTTTTCTCGATAACAACATTATATTTATTTGACGAATCGTTATGAATACCATTTCCTAAAAGCCATCCATGAATTAATTACCTATTTTATACTACATTTCTTACGACTAATCATAACTACAAACCTCTAATAATTAATACTGGATTCGGGACATCAACAAAATCTAATAATTTATCATCTTCTGTGTCTTCCTACAAAAAAGAAACGATGCAAATTAATTAAAAAGTTTTTATCAAGAACTGTATAATAAAATTAATAACTTACGTTTATTAATACATAAAGGAATTCGAGTTTTTCTCGAGAGCCAATATACTGGTTGATGAAATCAAACAGTATATTTTTATATGGACGCTTGTTCTTCAAGGTAATGCTATATTCCTTGGCTTTTTTCTGTTTATTAAAAATGTGCCTCAATTCGTCGGGAATGTCTTTACCTTTATTTTTCTTCTTGAATTTCTCAACCGCAATTATTTCTTTTGTTCTTAATAATAATACAATTGGTACGTACAACTCATTTAAAGATTTTGTCCAGGTTTCTAAGCAATTTATTCCTAAAAGATGGTCCGCGTGAGAAATAATAATTTCATAATGCGTGAAGTACGGCCAATTGACAACAAATTTAGCTAAATCTTTTTCCTTGTTTATATGCTTACGCTGCAAGCAATAACTTTCAGACATTAGTTGAATAACTTCTTTGACAGGTTTAGATGATTCGTAGTCATTTATTAATGCTAATCTTTTCTCTTCCTGAGATTCCCAACTTTCGTTTTGAGGTAGTTCAGGTAAGTATGCTACACAGCCATACTCATCCTGGGTCTTTGGTTTCTTTGTTGAGTCTTCAAGATCTTCTAATGAATATGACTGTGAAGTTCTATTGTCATGATGACCTTGCTTGGCGTAGTTGATACGATCATAAATTTTTTGTCCAAGACTCGCACTTGCTCCTTCTAGAGAAAAACCTCCAATTTTCACTGTAAACGAAGCTGAGTAATTGTTAACTATGCGATGACCCATTTTCTTTGCCGTTGTGAGGGTGGTGTCATTACAATCATTTGTCATGTAATTTGCAACCACGTGAATAAGAGTTTTCTTTTCATTGAAGTCTAAAAACTTTCCAGTACGGAGTGATTTTTGCACCGAAGATGACAATTTGCAATAAATATTATCTAAATCAGAAGCTTGCTGTGATGATATTGGCTCAGATGATGATGGGCTTGGCTCAGTAACCGTCTCAGATTGTTCTGTAATTTATGTAGTTAATTAACATAAAAAAATTAAAGATTTTCGATATGTAAATTATTTAATTTAAACATTAGTTAGACACATCAGTTAAATATACCGATACAAATTTAGTTTTTACCTTTAGACACTTGACTGTTTTTTGTTGATAAATCGCCATTCCAATCAATCCCATCAGGAACAAGAATTAGTACCAGTTGTTCTTTGCTCTTTGAAGCCAAATCTTGCAGTATTTCATCGTCATCTACTTCAGTGAAATCCTCCATATAAATCTAGTTAAAAAATAAACCATTGAATTACAAAATATACTAAAATGATCGTAGGTGTTATAACACGGGGTGGTCGTGGTGAGTAGCATAAAATAAAAAATTTGCTATTTTCTATCAATTTGTAATATTCTCACAAATTTGATGTATATACATTAGAAATTAACTTTCTTTTTTAAATTTTAGAAATTAACTTTCTATTACTATAGTAATAATAAAAATGAATCATGAAACCTTATACTCGTTGTCTGTCAACGATAATTTAGACTTGGCAGCCTTAATAAGCTCAGCAATCGTCTCGGCTTTGATAAGTTTTTTTGCAGACGGTTTATCATGCCGGGAAACTTTGAAAATCGCTATCGTGAGTTGATGCTATACTACCAGTTTTTCAAAGGTTTTTAATTTTAATAACTGTAACGGAGTACACGGGGCCTTCTTTACCCAGAGGTCTCCGATCCGTGTGAGTTAGTTATCGACTGATTCCCCAGAGCGCTGTGCTCCGAAGTACTCGCGCCTCTAGCTATAAGTTAGTGAGTAAGTCCCCAAGGGGGAAGCGCCGGCGCGGAGAGTGAGTGGGGAAGACGGAGCGAAGAAAGAAACGCACCGACAAAGCTCGGAAGATTCATTGTGACCGAACAGTCAAACCGAACGGTCGCGCAAAAGTTAATAAACACCAAAGCACAGGTAATTATTTTTATTTCGCTCAACATACAATGGAACGAAGCGATACAATTCAATTAATTTATTGCTTGCTAGACCTTCCGCCAGCTTGCGTAAATTGATTTTAATTTGTAATAATTTCTAATGCTGATTTGCGGTTGCAGGGTTTATAAAATATTCGGAGGAACGAGTGACGGTGACCAGAGTCTCACCGCCAAGCAGATTTATCCACCAAGGAGGGATTTGTACCAGTAACGACGAGAAGGAGTCGTAGCTCTTCGAGAGAGTTCATTAGCGTCGTGAAGGAAAACTCCAGGTACAAATAAAATGTCTCAATAATCTCTCGGTGGTGCGGCTTCAGCCAGGCATTGAAGTCGGCTGAAGGTCACCGCCATTTTGCGTTCGGTCACAATCATTAAGTATTACGTCGTAGAATTTACTTAATTATTATGTTGAAATTTATTTATTAGAATTTACTCGAAATATTATTTGGGATATTATTTAAAGTATTATTTAAAATATTATTTAGAATATTCTTTAGAAGGTTATTAAGAATTTATTTAAAACAAAATTTAGAATGAAATTTAGAAAAGTCCAGAATAAAATTGAGAATAAAGTTAAAAGCAAGTCAGGAATAATTACTAAATAATTAATTAACAAAACCAGGAATTATTTCGCATTGTTAGTTAACTACGTAGGCAGAGTTTGGATTGACTGTACCAGGAATAATTTCGGTTGGTCAATTCATGACTTCGGTGCCATGGGGATAAATTTGTCTTTGATAATCGAGTTTGGTTGGATTTATTTAATTAATTGCGTAAAATCAGTCAAATGGTTTAGAGAAATTTCAGCAAAGTCATTTGAAGTAAAATTTATTAAATTCGGGAAAATAATTCATAATAAAATTTAATTGTTTAAAATAAAATCATTTGCAATAAATTTAGAATCAGTCAAAATCGCTAGAAAATTATTCATGTAAATTTATTAATTAAAAGTAGAAAACGAAACTTGTAAAAATTCGTTTGGAAAATAACGATACCGGAGTCGAGCGACAAAGACGCCAGGCTGAGCGAGAACGTCAGCCATCTTGTCCCGCGCGAAGCGCTGAGTAGAGGACGCTCAAGGTCGAGACTTGGGCTTACTGTGTTGCTAGGCAGAATATAATCCTCTGTTAAAATCAAATAAAATAAATACTAAGTTTTTTTGTGCAACACAATGGACAGTAGAATAAAATAACGTAGAGAAAATAAAACTCAACTATTGAAGGACAAAATAAAACAGTTTAGTAAAAATAAATTAAATAAAATCAATTGATAAAATTTTAGTCAATGAAAATTAAGTTCTTAATTAAATAAAATAATCTGGAGAAATAAATTTATAAATTCTGGCAAAATAAATTATACAAAGTAAAATAATTCAACACAACAACTTATAAAATAAATTAAGTAAATTCAGTAAATTAATTTTGTTAAATCTCGGAAGTAACAAATACGTTGTTGGCAGATTATTAAGACCTCTGTCAATAGATTTTAACCTATTAATGCAAGATACGAAGACCTCTTGGTATTAAATATTTAATTGTTGTATTATTAAGACCACGATATTAAATTAGTTAATGATTTTAATTTGGGAATTAGATTAAGAATTTTATAAATAAATTAGGAACTCGGATTTTGTAAATTTACGAATGGAATAAATAGATTCAGGTATTAAATCGGATCTTATTTAATTTCGGGAAATTAATTTTTGTTAATTTGGAAATAAATTTGGAAAATAAATTTGTAAAATCCGGAATAATATTTAGTGGGTTTGGAAATAATAGTGTGGGTGGGTTTAGTGTTAAGTATTGTAGTGTTGCCTAGGGATTCATGGTATCCTCCTCTGCTTCCTGGCCACACTTAGAGTCCTTTGCATAGACGCCCGGGTCGGGACGTGCAATAGGCATAAGTATTTTAAATAAATATTGTGGGTGTGTGTGGAAAATATTATTGCAGTGTAGCCTAGGGATTCATGGTATCCTCCTCTGCTTCCTGGGCGCACTTAGAAGCCGTTGTATAGACGCCGGATTTGGAGTACAACGGTAGTAAGTTAGAAACCGCGGTATGGACGCTCCGTATGAGGGTACCGTCGGGAATAAAAACTATGATAGAAACCATGATAGGACGCTCCATAAGAGGATATCGTCAGGATTTTAGTTTTATTTCATTACTTTGTAAGGGGTTTTTATTGTGTATTAAGGGTTGGTTAAATAAAATGAATTGTAAAAATAAATTTCTTGTTATAATTTCTGTTTCCTTCCTGACAATCTCTTACGACTCTGAGTCTTTACTCCATGTTTTGGGCCAGTTTCTGGATACTGTGGGAAAAATCCAGTGGCGCCTTATATAAATTAAGAGGCGACCAAGAGAGCGGTGGATCCCCGTTTCATAACAGTACATAAACGATCAATGTAACAACTAAAATATCGCTTTTAAGTTAGTAAATATTTTTTTGTTATAGTTATATTCACATTGTTTTTTCTTGAGATCAATTTTTATTGCAGTAATATTCCGTTAAATATTGATTGTAATTATTTAAAAAGTTTAATTATATACAGTATAACGATTAACTAGAAGAACATTTGAATTATAAAAAAGTTTAATAATTGAAAAATAATGGGAAACAAAGCTTAACGTGAAAAGTTTGTTCTATACAGCTATGAATTTTTTAATTGTGATTACAACGCACATTCAACTCATGCATATTTGGGGTTTACGCATAAAATTGAACCTATTCTATAAATATGTAATTTTTGAAAGCTAACAAGCTCACTAAACGATAAACATTTATACTCTAACATCTCACCTAATTGATATGCTCTCAAATAAAGAATAAATTTAGTATCTGAGATTTCTAAAATGAAGTAAATTTCATTTTCATCATTTAACATTTTGCAAATTTTTCCTACTACTACTTTATACTGATAACCTTCCTGCGAAATGAATAATCCATCACCAATACGATATGAGACACCCTTCTTAATGATTTCATTACATTCATCAATATCTGGGTGTAATTTTTTAGTCAATAAAATTTGTTTAATCATTTCATTATATAAATTTAAGTTAAATTTTTCAGCACTTTTTACTTCGAGATCAGAACTAATTTCTCCTCCAAGACGAACAAAACATTGATACATTTCATGTTTAGTACTAAGTGATTTGGTGACATTAATAAAATTTTCTAAATATCTCATATTTCGTTTAAAAAAACAATGTTTACTCTCAGAACAAAGTGTCCAGGACTTCATTAATGGTCCGAACTGAAGTATTAATGTAGGATAATGAAGTAAATAATGATGTTTTGGGCGTAGTGGCAGTGAAAATAATGATTTTCGTAACTAAATATAATCACGAATTAGTGAATCTAAATGAATTACAAACGTTTCATGGATAGCTGGAGTGCAAATTATCTCAACAATTTCTGATAGTAATATAATACATTCCCAAACATCATCGTCAATATCTTCAATTTTGTCATAAATTAATACGGGTAATAATCGTAAAAAATTCCATATTTGACACGTGCCACCTGATACTCTTTTAGAAGTCGGTGAAATCGAGCATAACTTATCCCGTTGATCTTCTACTGAGTAATCGAAAATTTCAATTTAATGATTGAGTAATTTATATGAAAACCAACCTTTGTCAACAAGATCATCAAGATACAATTTCAGGTCATAGGCAAGAACACCTTCAAAAATATCATGTCTAAGACAAGGAGGTAATCCAGGAAGACAAACGTGATAATAATTTAATTGATTAAAAACAGAATCAAATTTTATTCCCTGTACCAATAAAGGTTTTTTATTAACTTTCTTATACGATTCAACAGTTCTTATCGGATAATACTTAAATACACCGTTTGCGGTTTCATGAGATTTTTTGGTCACTAGACAGTATCTGCAAAAGTACTGAGTTTTGCTGAAATTTTCAGTAAATCCCCCTAGTCCGTGGCTTCCCAGATTATCACCAGTTACAAACACTAAAGAGCCTTTTACAACTTTCCCAGGAGATATTTCAATACCATCAGTCTCAATATCTTTTATGTCTTGAATGATTTTACCAAAAACTTTAGTATGATCAAATAATTTTTCCTTGCATAATGCAACGAGATACATTGAATTAACATGTGATCTTATATGATCTGGATAATTTCCTATACTTAAGTGAACAGCTAAGATTTTATATTTAGATTTAGCAGAACCTATGGGATTTACGATTTCGAAGCTATCTTGATATAATATCAGTGGAACTGCGTTAGGATTGTCTTTAAAAAATGGATTATTCTTAAACACACTACCATCTGTAAAATCTTTCAATATTTTGCTATTATTTTTCGGGATATCAAATACTAAATTATGACTTAGTGATTTATTATCATATAATTGTTTAACTTAATAGTTCCTTTTAAAGGCACATAATGAAAAAATTGTTTTTTCTTGGAACTTGAATTATTGAGAGGAATTTGAATGGGACTGACATATGGAAAATTTTTTTCATAGAATTTTTTGCGTTTGTAGATAGTTCCTAAATTATCGTCAACAGTATTAAAAGTTTTATCTAAAACATTATCAAGGATATCCTCAATTGATCCGGCTGATAAATTTAACTCTTGTAATAAATGCTTCAATAAATTATTCTTAACAAGTTTTTGATTTTGTTCGCTCATTTTACATATTTCACTCGCAATTTACTGAACAGTTGATGCTGGCAAACAAAATTTAAACTTTAATTTAAAAAGAAAATGCGCTAAGTTCATTAAAAAATTTTCATCTGAATTATTTTTTTCTTCATGATAGTGATTGTCTTTTTCGAATTGTTCTGGAAAAAATTGTTCATCAACCGAGTTATAATTATTAGTAGTGAATAAATTGAAAGACTGTACTTCACTTGAGTCATTATTATCATTATAATTTAACTGAGCTAATTTTAAAACTTTATCTTTTTTATGAACTTTACTTATATGAGAAGAGAACGAATTTGCTAAACGGTATTTTTGCTCACAACTTGGATAATAACATTTTATTGTGATCCCCTGCTTTATATAACCATATAAATGTTCCTTTAACTTTTTAATATCATGGTATTTTTTAGTACAGTTTTCAACTATACAATTGATTTCTTCAAAAAAAAGGTTTGTATTTGCTGGAGCAGCAGATGAAATATGCTTTGTGGAATTGACCTGGTGGGTTCGATATACATGAGTTTGTAAAGATGACAAAATTTTATAAGCTTTGTTGCAGTATTTATATCCACAAATAAATAGCTTCGACAAATTCGAATGTTCTTCCAAGTGTTGCAAATAAATAGACAATTCCGAATAATTATAGTCACAAAATAAACAGAAAATCATTTTGTTTGTACTTATTTGTAATAAAAACAAGTAGTATGATAAATTGTCGAATATCGTTAGACTTACAACTTGATATTCAGAAAGTAAGATTAATAATTTTTGAGATAAAAGTAAATTATCTAGAGATGTACGATTTTCGAGTCATTTAATTTGACATCTTCTGTAACAAAATTAAGTACGTAATGAATTTAAATATTATTTTTACATATTCTCAGATAAATAATTGAATAGTATTTTTTTCAGTTGAGTATCAATCAGTTTAAGTGGTGAATAATCGTAGTTTTTCAATAAAACATTATACTTAATAAATTTGTATTTACATCAATTGACAAAATATTTCCAAGTGTAATAATTGAAAAAAATTTTAAAGCATCTAAAATTATTACTTATATCTGCTTAAAGATTCATAGAACAATAGTTGATATATATATATATA